TGGAAAATTTTAATGATTTGAGAGGCTAATATGAGACTACTGAAAATTTGAAGGACCGAAACCTAATTTTTTTAGCGCGCAGCCAACTCCGGAGGTAAAAAAAAAACAAATCAGTTAAGTGGGTCTAAAAATATACCAATCTGGTTATTTTGCCATTAATGAATCTACTGCAGAACAATATCCACATTTTAACCCTGGCTGTAACTCGATACCCGCTCCATTTACAAATTAAAAACCCCTTTAATTACCGGGTCGGATCTACTCCTCACTCTCACCTCCACTCCCTCCCTCCCTCTTCTCTACCTCCCCAAAACCCTCACAAATGGCGGACGCCGAAACGCCAGCGTTTCGAATATCGGGCAGGCGGGTCCACTTCGCCGGAAACCCCGCAGAACCGGCAACGATACATCGGACCCGTCACCGGTCATCAGGGCGTCTGGATCGGCGTCGACTGGGACGACGGCGACGACGGAAAGCACAACGGATCCGTTAACGGGACCCGTTACTTCACTACCCGATCCGATAAGTCCGGTTCCCTCGTCCGATCCAAGAATTTGAGTGCAGGGATCTCGTTTGTTGAGGGTCTTCGTGTTAGGTATCGGAGCGATTCCACTAAAGAAGAAGAAGGTATAAGAAAACTGACCTTTTTTTTAACTCTGAATTATTCAAAAAATTAGGATTAGCCCAAAATACCATTATACTGAATTAATTTAAAACCCAGTTTTTGTCTTATATTAGTTAATGACTTATTTTGTTCTAGTTTTGAATGCAAAGCTAAAAATCGGTGAACTTTAGTGTATCAAAGTGAAGTTCAGCTAAAGAAAATGTACAGAACTGAACTTGAGATTGTGCAGACGAAATGTATGTGCTTTCGACGAGCAACAAGCGTGTATCGGTACAACTTGTGGGGAGAAATAAAGTTGAGGAGAAGCTGAAGAACTTTGAGGAATTGGTTGCTGCTTCGGTTTCTTATTTGGGGATTAGTTCGATTGGTTCTGCTAGTGAGATCAAATCTCTAGTTCCAAGTAAGTTCCTATATTCTAATTTTGAGTTTGTCAGATGCATCTTGTAGCATTTGCTCATTAATGTACATTTGTTTATTTCAGACCTTAAGGAGCTTGATCTGACGGGAAATCTTCTTTCGAAGTGGCAAGTATGTTTTACTACAAAAACATCATCAGTTGCATCACGTTACTCTCTTGATGTTCCTTAAGTACATATGTTATAGTAGCAAAGCTACTGTGATCAACAGCGTATTGGAAACCTTATTGCTAGATTATTTCAGTTCTAGAGTTTTACATTTGGGATTACTTTAAAAAATTTGGTATTGATGCTAATCATGTATGCATAAATTGGAATATGTTTGTATTATACATGATATAATTTTTAGAGCATTAGCTGCTAAAGCTGCAGAAAGTCAAATGTCTTAACATCTGACACAGTGATCGATCA